TGTCCCATAGTTAATAGATAATTTTATAAATCACACACTGATAGATCCTGATCAACTACCATCACACATTCAGAACAGGGTTAGTAACAAAGTCATCAAACAGAAAAGCCACCATTAAAAGGCATGAAAGACGAAACCTGTTTTGTAGAGTTAAACCTACAAGTTACTAAAGGAAAAATGCAAATGTAAACTAAGTTACTTGGCTGACATTAAATGAAAACTTTAATTCAAGTAGAATGAGTTAGTAGTATACGGGAAAGAAATGTTATGAATGAAAGAAGTGAGGAAAGATACTATTAGAGACCAAAGAGAATCCATTGATACAATAGATTACATTTCAAACCATAAAATAATATGCACACAGATGACTCAGGATTTTCAGAAAAAGCTTTCAGCTAAGTTAATAACTAAATGTTCCAACAATCTATCAGTACAATAAGGTTGATAGATACCTGAGTCAGGTGTGCCCATGCTTCAAGAAAATTTCTATCAATTTGAAGTGATTTTAGATGTGCATCCTCAGCTTTCTTATATTCACCAATTGAAGATAATGCTAAACCCTGTAAAAGAAAGTGTTTACTCAGAAAAATAATAAAGCGATTCAAGTGAGATCTTACTTAAGTGTTATGTGTGCAAGAAAATCATTTATAATAAAAAGTGATTCAAGTGAGATCTTACTTAAGTAACTGAAAATTTCAATCACCTTCTTTTCAACTATATATATAATAAGATCACTAGTCAAACAGTTCCTTAACATGGCTCTACATAAGTCTTGACAACTGCACTAGTTTTGCTTAAACAATACATATTTGACCCAAGTGTTAATGCCTAAACCAAATCAAGTTTCTACTCCTTATAAGTCAAATCAAACATAAGTAAAAACCAGATTTCAAGATCATTTCATTTTCTGTACCAGAAGAGATCCATTTCATTAAGGGTGGGTGTCAATGGGACATACCTAACATGAAGCATTGATTAACTAAAATACCCAGGTTAAAAAATAAATAAATAAATTCCAATCAGCAATGCGAATTGGGTAAACTTCAAAAAAATTTACAAATACTAAGATCGAGTAAGCCACCCCACCTCAACAAACTCCCCCAAGGCTGCCCGAGCTTGACCTCTCCTCTTCCATGCCTCACCCGCTGATGGATTGATTTGTATGGCCTAAGACATACATGTGGAACTACTTATAAATAGAGGAGATACCCACATCTCAATGCACCTTTCAGAAAGTTAATTCAAATTTAAATACCTTTGAAAAATCATCAATAGCAGCATCAAGTTCTCTCTTGAATGCATATGCCGTCCCTCTACCTATCAGTGCTTCAGGATATGCCGGTTCCTCTTTCAGAATCTGAGTACATGATGAAGACGAGACAAAGTTTGTCAATGATGATACAGGAAAAGGAGGATAAGATAACAAGTAGACATCAGAAAAGGAAACACAAGTATCTCTAACAAGTAAATATCATAAAAGGAAACAACACCAATATCCCAATGGAAGCACTAACCTGATCAAAAATGGTTATGGCATGAGCATATTTTCCTTCATTAACCTGCAAAAGATCAGAAAATCAATATGCTATCAAACAAATAAATACAGCAACACAGCAGTTGTGTAAACAAACCTCCGCTATTCCTCGTGAGAGCCCAAAATCTACACTTATAGACTTAGTCCTTGAAATCCGAGCAACACAGAACTTCTTATTTTTCCTTGCATCGCCATTTTTTTCATGGGGAAAAATAAACTTACTAATTGGCTTTCTAAGAATTTCAGCAATTTCACTCGAATCACTACTAGACTCACCCCTACTGGTAAATACTTTATCTCTATCACATGATTCTGATGTATCACTTGAGTCATTGCACGATTCAGAATTATAACTCAATTTATCAATAACGTCAGGGCTTCCATTTACTTGGCTGTCAGATTTATTAGACTCTCTATCTTTACTACAAAATTCATTTCTTAGGTCAAAATCATCAGCAGACTTCGGCAAAATTGCAGATTTATCACTTGTATTGTCACATAATTCAGCTTGAGCACTCAACCTCTCTTGATTCTCACCAAATTCAGTCAAGTTCCCATTACTCATAGCATTTGATTCGGATTGCGGCGTGGGCGATCCATTGGTTTCAGACAATGCAATGTTGCCTTGCTTTGCTGTTGTCAAAAGCTCTTCGAGTTCTAGCAACAGCTTCAAATCCGCAGACTGATGCTGCGCGTGTTCATAACCTTGCTCCCATACTAACAGAGCATCTGCTCTCCTTCCCAAAGCAGAAAACGCACGACCTAGTTGACAGAATAAGCCGGTGCTAAGTTCAAAAGAAAAAGCATTTGTCACTTTGACTCTTTTCTAGTAAAATTCAAACAAAACGGTCGCCTGATGATAATCCATAAGCACCACGAATAAATGATAAATCCGTGAAAATAAAATTCCAAGTTCCTACGTGGTTCATCAACCAACTCTGTTATTCTGACAAGCATTCAAATCACTTCCCAAGGTACAAACAGTTAAAAGAAGCATCAAATGTTGAATGAATTTAATAAGCAGGAGACCTTTGAGAATGTAAGCTTGAAGACGCGCGGGGTCAAGCTGAAGCGCTCGGTCGCAATCCTTGATTACGTGCTTGTGCAGCTCCAGTTGGCTGTAACAGAAGGCTCTGTTACTGAAAGCAAGCACCGGAGCAGGAATGAATCTCACATTATCATTGACGACGGAGAATTAATCGTAATTGCAATAAGAAGAAAAAAAACAGAATCGGAGAGGTGCGAAGAAGAGTATGTGTACGCACCAAATGTCTTGGATTGCACCAGACTGAGAAACGATCGAATCGAGGATTCGAATGGCCCTAGACCAGTCCTTGGAGCTGCAGAGCCTAGCTAGCTGAACTCGCTGAGAGGTAGCAGAAGTCATGGATAGAGAAGAGAAACGATGAACGCAGATCAGAAAACGAAGAAACTTGTGTGTTGTTTCTCCTTTCAGGTTGCAATGAAAAATAAACTTGGCGTGGGAGGTGCAGCACGCAAGGGTAAAATGGTCTATGTGAAGCTTTGGAAATTTGGAGGAACAAGGTGGCAAGGAAGAAAGGGAGCAATAGGAGTGGATTTCGAATGACCGACGAAGTGCATGGCGCGTGACGTGCACGAATGTCAAAAGGTGTAGGAGTATATGTCCAAAGCCGCGGGCACTAGCACACTGGGATTGCGGTTTGGGATTATGAAAAAATATTCTAATTTTAGATGCTTTAATTACTTCCAAGTTTAATGGGATTCGGATTCTATGACTGTTCATGGAAGTAGGGCACAAGATAAGTTTGTTGGAATTAAAAAATCATTCTCCCTTATCAAATTTGAATATTATTTTAACATTTATTTTGTATAAAAATGTTCTATAATCATATCCACTCACTTATTATTTTGAATTTTAATGTTTATATTTTTATAGAAAATCATAGTAAAAACACAATATTAAACAGTAACTATGTGGAATTGAAATTTAATTACGAGAAAAAATTCTTTAACATGTCATATGCAGGGTGGTTATTTTAAGTGAAATTAAATATAATTATTTATTAAATGTAGCAAAAAGATAAATATATGTTAATTTTCGTAATAAGAGGTGCAGAAAGAGAAATATATTTATTAACAACGTAATGTATAATATTATTTTATGTTATATTAGTTTACTTTCTGTTATATAATAGAAGAAGAAACGTTTTATTTTATTAGTTTCTACATATTATTGTAGTTATATATTTGGTGAACTTTGTAACTCTTAAGATATTAATAATTATGATATAAATTATATAGTAATAATAAAGAACTCATATAATGACTATTTGAAACTGTGTCCGTTAATTTTAATTTTAAAATAAATTTTTGAATCTGAAGATAGATTTGATATTTTTCTTTTGAGTAAATGAAATATTATAACAAACATTTTGTATTTTATTGTTATGATGATTAAACTTGAGAATTAAATATATGTAATAAATGTGAATAATATATATATTTGCATGAAAACAAACATTTAATATTGTAACCTGATTCTAGATTTATTATTATAGGTCTCACGGAGGACAAACTTAAAAGAACCAAGTTGATTTTTATTTTTTCATGCAATTGTTGCATAAAAAATTTCAGTCATCACTGNAATGATACCTTTTCATTAACAACAATTACCTTCCATCAATTTGCAACATCTGACTTAGACATTCTTGAGCTTTTGTTGGCTTCGATATATCTTGATAGAACTGCCAAAAACCTCATGTTCAGATTAATCTAGCAGCCAAAATAATTTAAAATAAAAGCTTTTCCTATAACATAAAATGAAAGGCCAAAAACTGTGTCCCATAGTTAATAGATAATTTTATAAATCACACACTGATAGATCCAGATCAACTACCATCACACATTCAGAACAGGGTTAGTAACAAAGTCATCAAACAGAAAAGCCACCATTAAAAGGCATGAAAGACGAAACCTTTTTTGTAGAGTTAAACCTATAAGTTACTAAAGGAAAAATGCAAATGTAAACTAAGTTACTTGGCTGACATTAAATGAAAACTTTAATTCAAGTAGAATGAGTTAGTAGTATAAGGGAAAGAAATGTTATGAATGAAAGAAGTGAGGAAAGATACTATTAGAGACCAAAGAGAATCCATTGATACAATAGATTACATTTCAAACCATAAAATAATATGCACACAGATGACTCAGGATTTTCAGAAAAAGCTTTCAGCTAAGTTAATAACTAAATGTTCCAACAATCTATCAGTACAATAAGGTTGATAGATACCTGAGTCAAGTGTGCCCATGCTTCAAGAAAATTTCTATCAATTTGAAGTGATTTTAGATGTGCATCCTCAACTTTCTTATATTCACCAATTGAAGATAATGCTAAACCCTGTAAAAGAAAGTGTTTACTCAGAAAAATAATAATCCACCATAAAGGGCTCATAATCAGTGAGGACTAAAATGCTAAGACTCGGGACCCACCAAATATGTGTAGGCAGACTTATTATCCCTGTCTAGTTGCACACAAGCTGAAAGGTCTTCGACGGCAGCATTAAACTCTTTAAATTTGAAATTCACAATTCCTACATTGAATTTTATGAAAAACTCACATTAGACATATATAAGTAGCATTACTCAACAGAAATAAAAGTCAACATTATCACAGCAATAATTTATAATCAAACTTCAACTTGAAATTAACAGTAGACAGGACATAATTATTAAAAAGGAATAATATATTTGTTTCGCATGAAACTAACGAAGTCTCTGTCTAGACTTGAAGGAGCTACCACAAGATGCACAAATGAACCATCATTATAGAAGGAAGCACAAATAATTATTCCAGAATCAACCAGTTAGCCAAATAACAAAATGAAAAAGACTGTCAAAAAAAAAGATACCTCTCTCATGTAAAATATCTGCTGAGTTGGTTTCAAACTCTAAAGCCTTAGTCAAATCTTCAATAGCCTGAGATGTCCAGAAGCAGTAGTCAATGTCACATTATGAATTGTTATGTGTGCAAGAAAATCATTTATAATAAAAAGTTATTCAAGTGAGATCTTACTTAAGTAACTAAAAATTTCAATCACCTTCTTTTCAACTATATATATAATAAGATCACTAGTCAAACAGTTCCTTAACATGGCTCTACATAAGTCTTGACAACTGCACTAGTTTTGCTTAAACAATACATATTTGACCCAAGTGTCAATGCCTAAACCAAATCAAGTTTCTACTCCTTATAAGTCAAATCAAACATAAGTAAAAACCAGATTTCAAGATCATTTCATTTTCTGTACCAGAAGAGATCCATTTCATTAA